AATGAGTTGCAAGGAAATTTCTAGGGGGGGGGGGGGAAGCGCAGCCGGAGCGTAAGGCTGACAAACTTACCACCGTCTGTGAGCCGATTGTGTAGAAAATGTGGGAGCCTCGACGTCTCACAACCCTATGGGCCTTTACCGCCTGTTACACACCTTCTATCTTCCGAAATGCTTTATCTGCGTGCAGTGTGTTCAAGCATGAAATGGACGGTCACGGGCTTCGCTGTGGTGAGCGTGTGTCACCTCGGCTCTTGCCCGTCGTCATCACGCAAGTCAAGTCATGCTTTTAGCCTAAATGCGGGCCCAGTCGAGGAGAAATCCCCAACCAGTTAAAAGGATTCAGGTTTCTTATGACTTCTTCACAACAACACGCCATTTCCAGACAATGTCACAGCAGTGTTGGAATTCCTTAAACTGTTTTAAGTACATAGTTCCATTGAATGACTTCTCATTGCTTCAGAGGATGGTGGAGCTAAAATACAGATTAGTACTTGTATGTCTAGGAGTTCCTCGTATGACGTCCATGGTTTGGCGATAATAATAATAATGATAATGATGATAGTCTTTGTTTAGGTACAGTTTGAAAACTTAAATGCCATTTGAACTTATCGGGCTCAGGATAGGGCCCAAAGAAGTGATGTTTTGAACACGGTAATGAACCTTCGGATCGATAAAATGTTGGGAAATTATGTTGTACTTTAGTGTCCTGTTGCACTGACTCCTATCCATAATGTGTATATATTTACCGTCTTTTAGTGCATACAATTTCACTTGTCACTTCACACTACATGTTTCGGCATCATTCTGCCATCCTCAGGTGTGTGAATCACGTTAAACCATTGCACTGCCTGCCATCAAGTGTTCATTTATAAAATGATATAAAATGCGTGTTTGTCGTTGTTCAGTAATAAAATTTATATATTAAAACTTGTTAAGATCTATCATCTTACATGTCGTATATCAAACTCGTGTTTAATGCCATTCATCCGCTATGGGAGTCGTTCTCCTTATGTTTTAATTATCTATATACTGTGTCTCTTGATGTGTGTGTCTTTCTTATGTGGCTGCGTGCGTTGTATTGTTGGACGCATGTGTGTGTGTTGGGAAATTCTTGAGTAGCTGAGCGTCTGGTGGCTTTTCTAGAAGGACTTAATTCCATGGAGTTAGTTAGATGTCCTTTTAACTAACTGGTCTTGACAGTCGTGTTAATACTGTTACTATGTGTTATAAAGCCGCATGCAGGAGCCACCTACTGTCACGCTGGTGTTTCTTAGACCCTGAACATGGAGGCGACAGGACTGACTACACGAGCTTTATATCCCGGAAGATAGAAGTCTTTGTATTTGAGATTGTTTTCATTCACTAAATTCCCATGAGCGCACACAGGTTTTACGTTAGCAAATGCCATTTCCATAGACTACAGATGATTCGCTGGCTATATAATTTATTCTTTGAAAGCATACGTTAGTATTTCACAATAATGTCCCGCGGGTTCGATTCCCAGTGAGGTCATTGGATTTTTCAATTGACCTAACCCTTACAGTTGCACTATGGCCCTTGGGTTGGCCCAGCCTCTTAACAGAAATGAGTACCAGGAATCTTCCCTGGGGGTAAAGGGCGGCCGGAATGTAAGACTGAAAACCCCGCCTTCCGTGAGCCGATTGTCTAGACAGTGTGGGAGCCTCGATGTCTCTCAACTCTACGTGCTTCCACGGCCTGTTATAGGGATAGCTTCTTTTTAAATCGTACTCCCGAGTTCGCTGGGGAAAGGTTCTGTGGTTCAGTCACAGCGAAGGGCAGGTGTGGCTTAGAAACGCTGTTTCACCTGTGTCACCATGACAGCACTCTTCGCGCCAGCATTTGTTATGATCCTTTCGGGTACTTTCTGTTGAAGGCTCTGGATTGTCATTCGCTCGAAGTAGGGTCCCTCCTATATCGTCTATTGCACCTGCAAACTGTTTAATAACTTTACGAACATTTTCTGCATTGCCAGACACTTTTTTTCCAACGCGTTGTACAAATCTTTACATGCAACATAAGTGAATGAAACAAAGATTAGTATAGGGATACCTCATCATCCAGCAACTGAGCTAGCCCAACTGAATCTTTGACTGAAATGTCATTGCAGCCATTTTCATTCTGAACAATGCTAAAGATTTCAAGCAGAGAAATCCGTGGTGTTAATATCCACCGCTTTCACAGTTCTACTTTGAAATTACATCGCGTGTCCACAGACTTCGGGACAGTGCGGTCACAGCAGTTCGTAACAAGTCTTAATGCTAAGGCGAAGCGGAAAGAAGGAGCGAAACTACTGTTGAAGGGGGGGGGCAGTCTTGCTGATTTCACTGTTGATCATGATTACGTCATCACTAAAGTCATCCGATGAGTATAACAGTGACTGAAATGTGCATAAGGAAAGGTATATTCATCTTAATTTGAACAACCTTCTTTCCCTCACTACGGGTACAAATAGCAGCGGCGTCATAGGACTGAGCAGTTCACTTTGTTCATTCTGGTCCGTCACACTAGTCAGATATTATTGAATGATTTGACAAGTGTCTCAGCACATAACGAAAGGAGAAACAGCTCAACAGCACAGATTCATAACCAACTATATAAAAAGAGGAAAACAGCACTGCCCGAACCTCTTAAGGAAGGCAATATCACCCCAATCTCCCGTTGATAGAAGAGGCACGGAGACTAGTACCTTGGCGGTTTAAGATTTTAAATATTAAGAATTTTTAACTCAACCACATTTTATCTTAATTAAAATCTTTATATTAAACTTTGACTCAACTTGATGTACTATGATCAATGTAAGAGTAGTTCCTTAGCATATTGTTATGCCTTCTGAAGATGGTCATAACTGACCGAAACATGTAGAGGCATTCGTATAAATATACATTTGAGTCACACTGGACGGTGTTGTCAAATTTTTCTATAATACTGAACAGTTAACTATGTCCAGGTTTGTAGTGTGCCAGTTTTTGTTTTCAGACAGCCGCAAAACACTGCTGCGAGATTCAGAACTGGAATAAAAAATAAAATCTTTCGACCGGACCGTCACGTTAAAAGTATCGAAACAGTAAGACGAATTGAGACACGCAGGAAGTGTCAGTCGTTTAATCAGTTCGAATTCATACAAAGTTTGCATTTTTAATTTCCTCCGTATTTGTGTGCTTGTATACTTAATATGTACAGTCCAGAAGTTCATTTTGATGTATTTTTTGACACAATAGCACTGCGATGGTGTTGTTAAACAACGCTGACGAAAATTGCTAGTTCTGATACTTAGCCCAAGAATATTTCGCGACTATAAGATGTTTCACTTTCGTCATATCCTGTAACGATTAGGCCGTGCGTTCCATAAAACTTAATGCCATTTATTATCATGCCAAAAATATGTCAATTTTTATCTACAAGCTCATGTGGCACTGAGTGAATACACAGCCCTCATTCAGTTTGGACAGAATGCCCACAGAATCGAAAAGATTGAACTTCACACTATTCTCAGTGTGGATTGCACAGGTTCCAGGTTTTCTTTTATTTCACTCGTTAACATAAATGTTTCCGGTCTCCAATGTCTGTTGCAGTTCAAGTACTTTTGCCTCCAAACCAAACACATACAGACCAGAAGACTGAATTATTTACCTCACTTGCATTCAACCGTCTTTTCTTATTAAACCAAGAAGTGATGAATGCCCTACTTTGATTCTTGCCACTCTACTAAAGTTTAGTCTTTCTAGGTTGATGTGCGCCAGGCTTCTAGGACCTATATTTATATTCTTTCTTCTATACTTCAGAGGACAAATGGAGTTTCCAGAAGTACGTCTATCTTATTCATTATAATCGAATACTAAGTGACTAAAATTGCTTCCGGTCGAGAATCAAATACTGGTTCTCCCGAATATTGTGAAACACCGTGCAGTCTGGTAGATAGGTACAAACGTATCAGACGAACACTGTGCCACAATGTTCAGTGTAGAAGATGTGGAGGCAGCAAGTTACTCCGAAACGTCGTTACCTACAAACTATATTCACGTCACATCCAAGAAGACCGTAATCTCAATATTTTAGTTTTATTTATGTAAATTACTTGCAGTCTCTCAGATTACATAGCACCGAAAGACATAATTAGTGAATTGTAAAGAGTGTGGAAAAAGCGCTCATGGCCTGATTTGGACTATTATGCAGGCATTTGCTTGGAGAGACTGATTAAAACCATAACAAAGTTCCATTCTCAATTTTGCGAGTCTAACGTTGTAGTGTAAGGGGCACTATGCTACAAGCCGGAAGGTCGCGGGATCGAATCCCGATAAAGTGTATTTTTTTAATTTACCTAATCCTTCCAGCCGCACTATGGCCATCGACTCGACTCAGCCTCTAACAGAAATGAGTACCAGGAATATTCTTGGGGGTAAAGGGTGGCGGGCGCGTAAGGCTGACAACCTTACCGCCATCTATGAGCCGATTGTCTATAAAATGTGAGAACCTCGACATCTCAGAACCCTATGGGCCTCCACGGCCTGTTACAGGGATAACTTTACTTTTTACTTTTACTTTGACGTTGTAGTGTATCGGTTATATTGCGAGCTTAACAGCGTGATGCATCGATTTGGAGATAAACCGTGTAATCTGTCGACGATATTGCGAGTTTAACAGCCTAGTTTATTAATTGTTTGGCGAGGATAACACTTCATATTGTTGATAAAATCTTCTCTGGCTATCAGCCGTGTCCGTTGGTTAAATATTACCGCCGTTTCAGAGACCATGGGACAGCTGGTCCCTGACGTGTCGGTACTTTTTAACCATTTGACACGGTTAGTGGACTGAGAAGATTTTGTTATCTTTAGACACCGTGAAAACTTCAGAGTTTATATTATCATACTATATTAACGAGATTGGAGGTGTAATTTATCGATTGTATTACAAGATTTGATAGTAAAATATATCATTTATGTTGCGAGATAATGGGTGTAATATATCGATAATATTTTCAGGCCAGCCAAGCAGAAAGCCATGTTTTCAATTGCTTGAGAGAACTGGAAATCCCTCGACTGTGGCTAGTCTTCTTTCAGGGCCGCAGTTATGGGGGAAAATCATTTCGCAAAGAGAGAAATGGTAAATTGATAATGCGTGAACATGACTACGTGTTCTTCACTTCATATAATGGTCAGTATTTTAAAAAACAACAAAACCAAACAACTAATGGAATTATTTTTTTCATGATTTGAAGAGCAGACAAGTTCTGATTTACAGAATTTATAGAAATTATTTTACTTTTTATTTCCTCATGAAGTTCAGTTTTGCATGTTACTGGCCCTCCAAGATACTTAATTTTTTAAAAATTTAAAAATGATTTGTTGTTTAGGTTTCAACCCTCTTTTAAAGGATATACCAAACACCAAATGCCTTTATGAAAAAGTCTTCCTGCATCCATTGCAAACTTTGATAGATTTTAAGGAAGAGTGGATAGTGTAGTTCTGTATTTTTGAGTTCATGTAGTTACCAAATCATGACTGCAATATGTCTACTGTTGAGTAGATTTTCTACACAGAAATTGAGCATGTTCTTGTAGCAGTAATGACGAAACCGGTATTCTGGAAGTACTTAGTTTCTATCACAGCCAAATTACCAACGCTTAAGTTAGTCTTTCTTGCCTGTCCAGTTGAGTACCATAAAGTAGGTCATAACTGTCTCTGTGAGATTTGAGGAGGTCCTCATAATAGTGTACGAGGGTAAGTCAATAAGAAAGTTACAAATGGATATAGAATTTAACAAATAAGAGTACTGATTCGAAAAATGCTTTTATTTCTCAACATAATCTCCCTGTACATTGAGGCACTTGTCCCATCGTTTCACAAGCCCCTGAAAACCAGCAGCATAAAATTCTTTGGGCTGCTGTCGGAACCAGGCGGTGACTCCCCTTTCTACAGCGTCATCGTCGGGAAAATGTTCAGCCGAAAGATGATGTTTAAGAGGGCCGAACAAATGGAAGTCGCTTGGAGCAAGGTCAGGGCTATACGGAGGATGCTCGAGGACTTCCCACTTGAAATTTCGCAGCGTCTCATTTGCCTTGTTGGCAGTATGGGGACGCGCGTTGTCATGCAAGAGCAACACGCCTTTGGAGAGGAGTCCTGGTCGCTTCCGTTGAATGGCCTTACGAAGGTTCCTGATGATGTTACAGTAGGAGTCGGCATTTACGGTTTGTCCTTGAGGCTGGAATGCGGTCAGCAGTATGCCTTTGTGATCCCAGAAGACTGTGAGGATCACTTTCCTGGAGGATGGTGTCACCTTAAACTTTTTTTTTGGCAGGTGAAGCAGGATGTTTCCATTGCACTCACACACGCTTTGTCTCGGGCTGGTAATGGTGAACCCAAGACTCATCACCTGTGACAATTCGGGCTAGCATATCGTGTCCTTCATTGTGGTAGTGACTGAGATGCTGTAATGCCAGACCCATTCTTTGCATTTTGTGTTGTGGGTTCAGCATGCGCGGCACCCATCGTGCACAGACTTTGTGAAAACCTAACCTGTCATGCATTATGAGGTAGGCCATGCCGTGTGAACGACCAATAGGAGTGGCTATAGTGTCTATAGTTACCTTTCTGTCTGCTTGGATTAAGTCTTCAACCCGTTGCACATTTGCCTCTGTGGCAATCTCCGTTGGCCAGTCAACGCGGTGTTTGTCTTCGATACGTGTCCGCTCTTCAGAGAACTTCTGCACCAGTTGTAAACAGCTTGACGTGACAGTCACTTCTAACCGTAGGTGGGAAGCATTTCTTTTTTAATATTCTTTGATTCCATACCTTTTGCCCACAAAAATCGCACAACGGAGCTCTGCTCGAGGGTTGTACACTCACTCAGGGGCCCCGCCATCTTGCAACTGCTGTTTGCTTTTGTAAACATCGATTGTCTCGTGTCGAATGTCATCAATTGCCACCGGACTAATGCTGCCATCTAGTGGCAATAGCCTCAAGTGCCTCATTCAAACATGTAGTACCTTAGATCAATTTGTAACTTACTTATTGACTCACCTACAGATGTTCAGATTATGATCTCTTGCCCTGTAGTTTGGTAGGTAGGTACCAACATTTTGGAGAAACTTGGTACCTCCATGAGGAGATTCTGCAGAAAAAATGTATGCCTCCCTGCCGTACTACACGGTGATATTCCTCAGAAGATTGTAATCTTCACAGTTACAGCATCTCCTTTGAAGGCCCTAACAATTGATTCAACACCTTCCCATCATGTTGGATAGGAGGCTCATATAACTTTGTGCAAGTAATTGAAGTAGCATCAGTAAATAATTAAATAATAAATTAGTAAGATTTATGATATTCTGCAGTTTAGTACTTATGTTAATTAGCTTTGTTGACAAAACCTTTGTGTTTGCAATAAATGAACACCATGACAAATAAGGGAATCAAAATCACATAGTGGATTCTTTAACAATGTGTTTATTTTTCAACTATTGTCTCTAATATACATTAACTAAAAGCATTTTGATGTCTGTTCATTTAAACTGAATCATTTACCCTCTTGGTATTTCACAGGAAGTAAACAGGTAACGCTTGTAGAAGTGAAGTCAACATGTGATATGTTGTACAGTGGAATGATGACTAGTGACGCAAAAATGATCAAGAACAGCAAACGCTCAGCTCAGCACCAACTCCGAGACCACGTTGAACTTCTTCAAGCTAGTACAGAACTAAGTATGTCCATGACCACCAGGTTGGGGGTCTAATTTTTTACCTTCCTCTGAGTATTATTTCCTTATTTTGTGTGAAAGTTGAGGTTTAGAGTCTGCCTCAAACCAGAAAATATATTTAAAGGAAGGTTATCTGATGAATCTAAAATAAACTGAGCTGAACTTACTATTCATGATTATCAAGGTAACAAAAATTCAGAGTAATTTAACCTAAAATTTGATAGTGCCAAACCATATGACAATTATACACGTATCTTCAGACTTAGTCTTCTGGAATTAGTAAATGACACTTTATACACACCAGATATAATGGTTACACCACCATACCTCAAGTCTTGTGGAACTGGGTATACTGCCATGACTTTGTCTTCTGGAATGTTGTTGTGACATTTCCTCCATATCAGACATAATTATTATATTGCCATGACTCAGTCTTGTGTGGTCAGATAGTGAGATTTCTTCCACACCTATTGCACCAGATATATTAACAATATCACCATGTCTTAGTCTTCTGGAATTTGATAGTGATATTTCCTCCACATCACCTATTATGAGTTGATGCTTCAACCCTGAAGCTGAGGACATCATCTCTCCACAATGTTTGTATCCATTTAAAAGACCACCTGGGATCACAGTCCTTAAGACCACGATCTGAACGCTTGCTGTCATGAAAACTTTCTCCATCCATTTCCATATTCTCTGGGATATGTATGTGGTCATGTTCATTATTGTAGCCCATGTGCTTGCTGTCAACTTCCTGTAATAAGAGACCAGCAGTTTCACAGAACTATGAGACAGTGGATCTTTGTGAATCCTATTGATAACATCCCTCTTGTATCTTTGCAGCAAATTTCATTTGTGTCACATTGTACCTAACATGCAATATATCCTTTCTTCAACTCGAGGGTTTGTGGCTGAAAGTTTCATGGTATGTCCCTTCTCTTGTGGTTTGCATGTACATTGTAAAAGAGTTGGGGTGATAAACCTTTTCTACACATAAATTATGTGGAAGGCATTCCCATATGTAATACCAAAACCGTGATAAGTTCCCCAGTAGTGAAGTCTGGTTTGAGAGATATATGATTATGATATTGAATAATGTTATTGATAATGTGAGGGCTGTCGCTTTCAGATGTTGTAAAACAATTCCTCTGTGAATGTCAGTAAAAATTAATCAAGTGGTGAACAGTTTTCACTGGTATTTCATGCTCCAGTTTGATTGCAGGCCAGTGAACTTGTGTATAACTGCATCATCTTTGCTTATTCGATGGTGCCATGAAGCAACTGGTTCATGTTGTTAGTGTCACTGTGCTCTGAAAATGCATGTGAGCATTCAGAGAAAGAATAATGTGAGACTTAAGTCTTTATCAGAAGCAGAATATCATATTAATTCTTGTAGCTTACCTGTGCTAAATCTATTGGTGTTTTCCTACTCATGATACTGTACATAACCCAGACTGTATAGCATAATATGACTGGGAGATGATGAAAATGAATGGAAAAGATTTGGAAGGAAATGGTCATGGCCTAATTTAAGGTTCTATCCTGGCATTTGCCTGGAGGGACTGAGGAAGGCGGTGAAAGATGTCAGGATAGTTAGTGCCTTGATCAAGATTTCAACCAGGCACCTGCTGAAAGGAAGTCAAAAGTGTTACCACTTGAACCAACTTGCTTGGTTGTTTTCTTTCCATGGTAGAGATAATTAAACTTGTGATATATTATGTGTAAATAGAAAACACTATCAGCACATTTCGTCAACTTCATACCACACATACCAACCACAAGTGCTGCATACCTCCTGCGTTCATAATTGCTGCTATGAGATGCAGCCTACTGTACGCACCCCATTATGTCTTTGAGGACTAGATAAGATTGAGTATGGCAACAGCATAATCAGATCTTAAGATTAAAGATTGTTCATTGTACAAAACAAACTGGGTAGAAACTATAATATCTGATAGTTGTAAACAGTGGAGGTTGAGATATCTGTGCCTTTTTTCTCTGATTTCTAGAACAGTCCCTCTTTTGTAAACAAATCCAGTCATGTCCTGCAGACAGTAAGTCACATTAGTTTTCCAGATAACATGTGCATTTGTTATTAAATCCCTGTTTATTATAAAATAACAATGGGACTAATGGTTATGGTTTATCTTTCAGGCAGTGACTTTAGCATAAGTCTGAACTGTTATATATTCTGGCCATTTTTATCATCCATGACCAGAGATCCACAAAATAACACAATTTTACGATGGAAGGAAGATGGAAAACTGCATGTGTTTTCAGAAACACTTGGAGCCCCAGAAAAATTTCAGCAGTGGTTCCATGATGAGATTCTTCAGAATGGGAAGCCTATGAATGAGAACCACTGGGATCTGTTGCTCAGAAGGTATTATAAAATTCACAAGTTCTTGGCAGGGGGCCACATACTAATGGCTAATTTGTATTTTGCACCTACCCACACCATGCATGAGGTAGGCACCAGCTTTCACATTTGGGATTTATCATGACTTCCCTTAGTGCTCATAGGTGAATTGCGGTATAATACATTAACAGGCCATAACTGGTTTTCTGCAAAGATTTGCATTTCATTTAACTTGACTTTGAGTAATTTAATTTAATCCCGGTACAGCATGCATAAACTATAACCAAAGAACAGCAATATCACACAGCAAGTACTTCTTACTGATTAAATAATCTGAACTATTTTGGGTTTCAAAATTGCTGTCTTCAAGGATGTAAACATTGTGCACTCAGTTACCAACGTTTTAGAGGAATCTGTTATCCAAATTATCCCTTCAACCTTCAGGGCAGAAGACAAGTTTCTCTACCCTGAATATTGAGGGACTACTTGCCACTGAAATGTCAGTGAACATTTACCTGACTGTGGCATCACATCCTAGAAGGCACTGTTCACCACAATTAACGTTTGTGTTGACAGAGAGAATTCAAGATTCCTTCAGGACATTTCCCAGAAATGTAGGAAAGCTAGCACCATGAGAAAGCAATAAAGGAATTTTCAACAGAATTTAAATGCTGGCCACACATTCTTCATTCTTTGATGTTTCATAGTTTTCCATTCTCTGATTCAGTAATGTACATCAATATTACAGATGTTAAGGGAACTGACAGACTTTTGAGTTAAGAATAATTTGTACTTGTTAGGGGCATTCACAGACCTGCAGAGGGATATTTAATTATGCTGTCAGTCTCTCTCCTGGCACCTCTGGAATTACAGAATATCACTTGCCTTTTTCATATTAACTGTATTTTATGTTGTGGATGGTAGGATGTCATTTATAATTCCTGCTGTCAAATGTATCTCTTAAAGTGTACAGTTTTCATTTTTGTCACAGCCTGTGTGAAATAGTAAGATGAGAACAACACAATCCGATTATCTGAAGAACTGAAGTTTTGTGTAGTCAGACTAACTGATTCATTACTCATTCATTCCCTCCCTCCTTCCATGAAGTTGCCTTTATTAAAAAGCCACTCAAGAAATTCCCAGCATTTCATGGGACCGGGAAGTTGCCTTGTCCACAAGAGCCAGCCACTGAGTCCCTAATCCTGAGCCAGATAAATCAAGGCACCATGCTGTACGTCCTGCCCATCACATTTTTAGGAGACATCTTGTAAAAATTCAAAACATAATTAAAGTACAGAATGTTCAAATCCAAGTCTATGTATGATATAATAACAAAATCATTTAATTATAAAATATACATTTTTATTTCAAAACAGATTGAACTTTATGAACACCCCTGTACTCTCTGGGGGAGGGACAGAATAACTACATGATGATGACAGATTATTTTCCTGTGATGGTAACAGTTAACTAATCATGCAGTGATATGTTTTACATTTATCTATTAGTAGTAGCAGTATTATTAAAAGGTCCAGTCTTCCAGAACTGTAAAATGCAGGACACATGTGGATAAAAGCTCTTTCAGCTTTAACTGTACTTAATTCTTTCAATTAGGTTCATAGTTCTGAGCTGTGGAGTGTACGTTGATGAAATTCATGATGGAATGCTGGCCCTTCTGTCTCAGGTAAGATATTTCAGTCAAGTTTTTCACCCCATTCATTCCATTCAGGCCGATTTATTGTTGATGTCCAGGATCCATGAGGTTGTAGCAACTGCCACTTAATTCATAGTTGCCTTGAAACATGCCTGCTTATGTAATCTTTGAAAGTGGATCAGAAACTATTTAAAACAGTCACAAAATATAGATGATTTTTTTCCTAATGGTTCGGAAATGGGCCAGGGACCACACTGACAGATTACAATGAAGCTATAGAGTGGACCATGTGTCCTGCCTTCTGCCATTTGAAAAACAGAAGTAAGTATTTGGAGTGAAAAATGTGTTGCAGCAGATAGTTAAATGGTGTAAATTAATTTCAGCTGCAAAGCTTGCACATGACTTTCAACACACTGAACCAACAAACTGACAATTAAACCTGAACTAAAATTATTTAGCTTAAACTTTTTAATGACATTTCCTCCACACCAAATGTAATGGTTGTATTGCCATGACATGGTCTTCTGGAATTTGGTAGTGGCATTTCCTCCAGAGCAGATGTAATGGCTATACCACCACAAATCAAGTGTTTCAGAATGGGTAGTGGCATTTCTTCCACACCAGTTACAGGGCCCGGCAGGGAGGTGTGATGGTTTTCAGAAAACTAGTATATATTTTTTGACGAATAGAAAATTTTAATTTTTTTAAAGAGTACATGTATAATGCCATTTAAGATGCTGTAACAAAAAATAAGAAAATTTAAATTCATTTTCGGAAAATAACATCATGCAAATGGCGGCCATTATTGTCCAAGCATTGTTGCAGATGAGCGGAAAAGTTGTCCATAGTTCCTTGAAGCATAGCAAGTGGAATCGCTTGAATTTCTCGGGTGATGGCATCTGAAAGGGCCTCAGGAGTGCGTGGTTTGTCAATGTAAACCTTAGCTTTCCAGTAGTCCCATAAAAAGTAATCGCACGCTGAAAGATCTGGGGATTGAGGGGGCCACTCCACATCCCCACGCTTTGAAATGAGGTGCCCAGGAAAATGTTCTCTCAATAAAGCCATTGATTCTCTTGAGGTGTGGCAAGTAGCCCCATCTTGTTGAAACCAAACTGTACTGAGGTCGATGCGATGTCTTCGCTATTCAGGCAGTAAGAACCCGCGCAACATTGTCATGTAACGTTGTGAGTTTACTGTTACAGTGCGTCTGCCTTCCATGAAAAAGTAAGGCCCAATTATGCTGAATCGGGCCATTCCACACCTCACAGTGATTCGCTTGCAATGTAGGGGTCTTTTTGATGGAGTTCTTGGGGATTGTTTGCTGACCAATACCGGAAATTTTGTTTAATGACACTTCCTGTCAAGTGAAAATGCGCCTCATCACTTATGATGAGAACAGTGTCATCCCTCAGCACTTCAAGCATTCTTTCAGCAAACATAAACCTCTGTATGAAATCATTCTGCTGCAGTTCTTGAACCACCATGATTTTGTACGGGTGGTAGTGAAGGTCAAAGTGTAAAATTCGGCGAACTGATCTCTCTGACATCCATAGAGCGTGAGCGTGCTGTACCGCTGACCGACATGGTCTGGTCTCCACAGCTTGTTGAACTCTTTTGATGTTTTCCGGAGTCCTCTTGGTTCGATTGCCTCCACGAGCTGTACACGGTCTCATAGATCCAGTTGTCCTGACGTTCTTCACCCACGTCAGTATTGTGTTTTGAGATAGAACAGCGCCATGTCGATCAACATTGAAATCAGTATGAAATCTGTGCTGCGTAAGCTCCACTGAACTACCTGCTTGAATAAACGTCTCAAAAACAAAGGTGCGATGTTCAATTGCCCACGGTTCCATGGCCACTGAAATGGTGTCTAACAGTGAGTAACTGCCAACCATTGCACATGCGCTAGTCCCCCTACCCCCACTTTTATACCCATCACAAATACATCACACCTCCCTGCCAGATTCTGTATAAAGGTTGTATCACCATGATATAGGGACATATTTGCTCAAGACAAGAACTGTGAAGCTACCGGAGACAGCTGTTGCTAGGGAATGGCTCAGCAAACAATGTCAGGCAACAGATTTGTAACACACAATAATGGAGTAACAGGGAAGGGGTGCTCTCTGTGCAGTCTTTTCGATAACTAAGTGATGCAACAATGGAAAAACTGTTGGGGGAAGGGTTTTCTATGCTGTCTGTGCCAATGCACACCAGTCTGTGTGCGATGGTGAATTGTAAAGTGTAGCCATTAGTTGTGTTTAAGTGTCCAAAAAATCCAAATTACCAATCCACACCCTGTCTGTAGTCACACTCTTATCATGTGACAATATGATTCCCTAAACCTTCTTTGTGGAAATGGGATTCACCACTTGAAGGTAAGATTTGCATTGAGGTAGTGGTCTCATGCTTTGTGCATCTCCTCCTTACATCTAGAATGTCAATGCTAGCGCTTCTCAGCATTTCAGGATTTCAGAGGTGAATAAATGATGGTGGAAAGCAGAGGGGTAGTTCTGGAAAATGTTGGTAGAGGAGCCCAAGACCCAAATCAGGTTGCAGAGCCAGGAAGGAGGAGGTAGATGATGTGGAGGGGGAGGAGAACACAATGTTTCAAATGATACGCGAATAAAGATTAATGACAGAGTTTTGTGTTCCACTATTGCTTAATGGCATGGTTAGTGCTGGCATATGTTTCTGTTTTTAATATAGTGATATTGCTTATAGCCTGTACCAATTGCAGTTAACAGCACATTCCTTTCCTTTCAAGGGAGAAACAATCTGTAACAATGTAAATTTTCGTATTAGTGGGACTGTGATTTTATCCAAGTATTGAAGGAATATTAAAGAGCAGACATCCCAGAAGAATGTGAAACATCACTCTGTAAAGTGTTGTCATATGTCACTGACTAGACACAGGATCTGGATTGGTAACTGGATATACCGAACACTTATAACACATTCCTACAAAGGATTTCAACACTGTCATTGGTTTATACGCATTTAAGATCACTACCGCCTCTGTGGTCTAGTGGTCAGGGTTCCTGGCTACAGATCCAGAGGTCCAGGTTCGATTCCCGGCACAACCAGATTTTCTGAGAAGTAGTGGGTATGGAATGGGGTCCACTCAGCCTCGTGAGGATAATTGAGTTGTTTCAAGGAAACAGCGGCTCCGGTCTAGAAAACCGAAATTAACGGCCATGGGGATTCGTTGCACTGACCACGTGACACCCTCTATCTGCTAAAATTGGCATTATGTTTGCTGACAAGTGGCGGTCGCTCGGTTGGTATAGTTCTCTTGCAGGCTAAAACCACCAAATTTGTTTTGTTTGTAACTACAGCATACATGCAGCATTCTGTGTTCCTACCAGTCACTGACTGGTAACGGCTGTAGATTTCTCAGCTCCCATACTCAAGTCCTTGCTGGATAGTGACTGTTACACAACTAACTCGTGACAGCAACTAACCCTCAGCTAACTACTGATCAGCTGGTCTTCTCAGTGTATAGTGTGATATTAACATATAACACCACAACAAACCCTTTCAAAGAGAAACAAATGGAAAGTAAAAGCACTCTATGTGAGTCTTGAGAAGTACTGAGGAGAAAACAAGTAAAACAGTTAAGTTGACCCTATGCTTAACTAATTGAGCACTATGCAATAAAGGCGTATGGGGGAGTAGAGGGATAGAACCATAATTTCTTGACCTCAGCACTAGCTGGAGGTAGGTGGTCAGCTACATGCCACAGCCACTGTACCCCCAGAGAAAGAGCCCCTGGTACTCACTGGACAGAAGGTTGGGTGGACACCAGAGTTGGTCTGAGCTACGAAAAGAGAAAATTCTTGACCCTACCAGCACTTGAACTCTGACCCCTCAGTTGTCCAGTCTGTAGCCAGTCGCTATACTGACTATGCTATCCCAGTTCAAAAGGAGAAAACAAGATAGGATAGAATTACAAGTGAAATTTTTTGATAAGGTGGAATTCAGGATTTGTTAATAGAGTTAGAAGAGAAATGTTGTACTTGAGCATCCATTGCAGCCTTTTGTACATACATGTAACCACCATCTTAAATGCAACTCTTATTTTTGTCTTTCATGTCTCATAAGATATACAAAAGATGAAAGAATGTGTCGCATTTAAGATGGTTGCTTCATGTGTATTAGAAGAGACATGATTGCAATGGGGTAGCCATGTAAAAAGAATGAACAAAATAGCGATATTGAGTAAGTTATGTGGCATGCCACCAGAAACTGGAATGGCTGACGAGATCAGAGTTGATTTCCTAGGCAATGACTAACATTCCCGCGACAGTGGCTAGGAAGCAGATTCCTAGCAATTCCTAACAGTGGAGTTTCCACTGTTACACATGAATTGTTGAAGCAGTGAGTGGAACGAACCCTTTGAGATGGTGTTCCCTATTGAGTCCGCGTGGAAGTTATGAGAGTCCAACTGCGACAAGAGATGAGTTTCAGTTTGTAGTTCACCTTAGAAGAGTAGTCAGTCTTCAGTTGGCTTCAAAGCAGTATTTGTGATTGTGAATACTTGTATTTGTAAGTTTAAAAGTGAGCGTCCAATAAACATAATAGGCAAATCCAAAACCCGCATGAATTTTCTTGTCGTGTTGCCTAGCAAACATGTGACAGGTATTAGACCTAATGGATGACCTAGAACAAGATTGTTTAGTCAGGTACTTGAAGACCTCAAGACTGGAGGCTTTTCATCCACTGACCTGTATAAAAGGGAAGAGCTCCAAGAAGAATGTGCAAGGCGAGAGAGAGAGGGATACATGAAGACGAAATTCTGACACATAATTTTAAATAAAGGTTTCTAAATTTTGATTATCAAGAGAGGGATTTGTGGGCTGTTAAAGATCAGGAACATTACTTCTAGTGACAGTAGTGCCACTCCCAGGAGCTTAATTTTACGGGAAGTTGGAGGTGAGATGGAGAGATAAAAACTTGAGTGACTTCTGAGGTTTCAGATGTGGGACAAAAAGTAAGTAAAAACTCTCCCTTTAGTGTAGTATACATTTACCTGTTACCTCAATTAGTGCATTATTTAAAAAAACATCTGCATGAAAAGTTGAATTTGAGTAATACATTGTTTTTACCTGCAGGAACAAGTGGACCTGTTAAATCGGAGGCCAACCAACAAACCTCTCATAATCCATGGAGCAGCTGGTACTGGTAAAACAATGCTCATTATACGGAAGCTGCAACAATTACATGAAGAAGGAGAGCTACATAAAAATGCCCGGGCTCTTTATGTCTGCTACTGGCCAGGAATTCGCTGCGATGTTGTTCGGAAGCTAGAAGCACTTGGAATATCTGAATTTGTAGACACACAGCGTTTTTTCATCAGCACAGATGGATTTTTGAAAGGAAATAATAATGGTTATAAGCATGTATTTATGGACGAGTGTGAAGCTATCTGTTTGTCATTTGACGAGAATATCATCACACAAACATTTCAGGAACTATTTAAGTGCTATCATATGGGGAACTTTAATGCTGGTGTAGAAGAGCCAGGTGTTTTGTGGTTTCTGGTGGACATCAATCAGGCCTCTCTGTTCCTTCCAAAATATTCACCAAACATTCTTAAAACACCTGATGTAATATTAACAAAGGTTGTGCGATCAACTTGCACCATTTACAGAGTATTCCAACAATTTTATCAAGAACCGATTCCAAGAATGCCTGCTGCAGTTAAATTGGAGGCTTACCAAAATCTTCAAGGCATATCTGTAGCACATAATATAAGTGGACCCCCCATCTACTGGGTGGACAGCAACAGCCAGGAATCATGTTTAAAAGTCCTGGTATCAGTCATTCTGGATCTCTGTTCTACCAAAGGTATCAGGCCAAATGATCTCTGTGTCCTGCCATTTCTGGTTAACAGCAATTACAAGCCAGATGTTATAAATCATGAAATAGAAAACCATTTTGTGGAGCGAGGATTCATGCCACAAGCCTTGGCAAATGTTGAAAGTTTCTTGCTGACAAGCAAACCAAATAATTTCCTAGTTCCATGGGTTCTTCGAGTAAAGGGGTTGGAGTTTAAGGTGGTTGTTATGGTTATAGATGATGAAGACTTTGACTATGCAGATGCAGAGGATAGGCGAAAGGTTTATATAATGATGTCACGATGCACTTGTCTGCTTGTGTTGCTTAGTTCAGAAGCCATAAAGAATAACATTGACAAATACAACATTATCAAGCACTATCCATTTTCAATGAAATTACCATAGAATACTCTGCAATGCAGAAACTTGTGTTAATGTTTTAATGGTTTTTATGGAAACCATAATGTGTGTGCACCATATCTCATAATGTAACCCAGTATTTCCTTTAGTACATATAAAAGCTCATGGGAGATGTGGAGGGGCTGATCAGTTGCAGCATTGATATACAAGTAACGTTCAGTAAATAAGGTTCCCTCGCCTGTAACATTACATTAATCAGCTTAGTCCTGATGGCTCTGCTGAAGTTTTGTTTGGACCTCAGAAGCAATTCTTGGGAGATCCCCAACATTGAGGGAATGGAAGTGGCTGTTGGCGAATACCTGTGAGTGCAAGCAACAGAATTTTTAAACTCATTCCAAGATAGGACAGATGCATTAATGTGCTCGGGAATTATGCTAGAAAAATGGTATATCAGTGGAATAAATGAATTACATTTTATGTCCTAATGACCTCTCATTTAATTTGGATGACCTATGGAACCTTACTTACTGAACAAGCTTCATAGTAATATATGCTTATATTGACAATACAGCTGAACTATAGATAATCAGAGTAACTACTGTGGAAATTATGTAGTAAATTTGGATTAAACAGGAAAGGAATGGTTATGTGCATATAAGGAAGAACCATCAGAAAACCTTTAACCCTTTGACGTGGTAATTTAAATTCCGCGGCCGCGGCTCCTGCGGTAATATATTCAGCCGGCCATTTAAATTTTGCTCGAAAATTATTTATTCATCATTGTTCTTAAATTCTATGAGATAGGAACATGAAACTTTCACTAAAATGCTCTTAAAAGGTGGTTTTATAACCTTACCTTATAATATGCGCGCCCTTTATATCTTCAATGGAAGCAGGTTGTTTAGTATTTGAGCAGTGAATGGGACGCCTTGAAGCATGAAACTTTCACTAAAATTATCTTAAAAGATGGTTTTTATAAACTTACCTTATAATATGAGCGCCCGGTATCTATTCGAGCAGTGTAAGGAAGGCCTTGAAGCATTCGTGTAACCCAACGGTGCCCCACATTCCTCGCTCCGATATTTACGGTCATCCCTCGAAACGACCACCAAGGTCAGTACGATAAAATGACGTCAACTGGAGCGATGATTATGAAGGAATGAGTACTTTTCCCTCCCCCACACACATCCGTATCGTCTCAGGGGGTGACCACAGTGTCCTGCCTTATATTGTGGCGTTTTTCTAAGAAATGGGTGCTATGAACTGTGCGAAAGCAATTGATTTTACGAGAATAAAATTTTGGACAACCCTCTTCTAAGAATTGCAATTGAGTGTGCTACTGTGGCCAGCTCAGGGTAATATGATATTATCAACATCGTAAATATCACGTCTCGGTTGTTTATATCTTCAAAGCAAAGTAAACAGGCCTTTCATAACGGTACAGCTAGAATCCGCTCGCCAGAGCCACAGGAATTTTGCTGCAAGACAGGCATATGTAACGATGACTTATCTCAGCTAAACTCGTTGGCTTAGTATACTCTGTTCTTGTGACAACAGGCCAGCGAAAAATCTAACAATCTACAGCAAAACCACCAATTATTATGGGCGTTATAACATAGGTGTGCAGCTGGACGAAACAGACACGCCGAACCCCCCCAGACGATTTAAATCCCTGACGAACCATACACGACGAACCACGGCAACGGGTTAACTAAGATGCACATCAATACAACTGTGAACTCAGGGGGAAGCAAGAATAACATATGCTGATTTTCCAATAGCATTACTGTGACTTCTAATACATTGTACTATTAATGAATTTGTGACTGACATATTTATGAAGTAGTGCTATGTACACATCTATCAGAAACATGCCAGAAATTAACGCAGTGATGATGACTCTCAATAGATGTGCTTCCACTATGTGTTTTTGCATATCTGTAGTTTTATGTCAGTGTCACGAGGAGCATGAATGTCCTACCTGCAGCCACAACAGAAGCTGCTGTACATGCCCAGTGGGTTTCATTGGCTGTTTTCCTTTTTTCCATATCACTATTTTGACCCCAGTATGTTTGTTCCTGCTCCCTTCTCCACCATACTCAGTGCGTTTCCTGTTTCATGCATTTTTGAGATAAGCAGCATTTTCTGGAATGTAATCCCTGCATGGCATGAGTCACTGTATACAGAGGGGCCATAAAAATATACACACTTCAATGTACAAAGTATGTGTTTAAATAATTTACTGGTAATCCAGATTTGGTACATACAGAAAGGGATGGCTGTGACACATGTTCAAAGAGCTCACCATTAATTTGTAGACACTTATCAGTTTGGCAGACTAGTGCATCAGAAACCATGGCCAAGGTATATGATAGGATAGCGGCACATGTTGTTTCAATTTCTTACCATAATGTCTGCAGTGTTGGTAGTTTTCTACAATATACCACATTCTTCAGCCTTGGGATTTAAACTTTCCATTTAATGCATTTCAGAATCTGTTGTATGGTTGATCTGCTAATTCCCACCTCATGTGCACAGTTTTTCAGATGTTTGTGGTGACCATATAAACTGTTCCAACAACATAGCAGAAGAGGCTGGACTCACTGCTGTGCAAGACCTCCCAGATCTTTGCTTGTGCACATCATGCATTGTACCATCAGCCTCAAATCTGTCATGAATGCATGCAATCATTAATCATGTTGGAGGTTCCATTGCAAATTCATGTCGCCACTCTCTTAGTACTTTGCAAACATTTTCAAATTTCCAGTACCATTTCAAAATTCTTTTGTTATTCAAATGATAACTGTTCTTCTGCCATTTTCTTTGACTGTCCTGACACTTGCTGAAGTGGCTCTGGCATTAATGTGACTAGCACTATTTTTGACAGAATATCACACTACACACTGTACATTACATTTCAGATGAACATGCTGCCTTCCAGGGTTGAAGAGGGGTTGAAGCCCTTGCTTTGCTTGCAGCCTATTTGATGCTGGTTTTTTTCTTGCTTGGCTTATTCCTCAACTCTGAAGATGGAGGTAACATGTTCCTCCAAAATTCCACTTTACTTTCGAAGGACTATACAATGATATATTTCAGAAGATAAAATCCTTCATTTTATAACACCATTTATGAATTATGAACTGTTTTATGCTTTTCTCTGTGGAAGAATTCATATGTGTGTTGGAAAGAATCTCTTCTACTGTGTCCATAGCACTTACAACAGAGATATTGCAATTTCTATGTCTTGTACAATCCAATATTCATAATTCAGTATGAATGAAGATGAAGGAAATGAGTGCTTCTTCTTCCCCTTTTCCCCTCTACCACTCTGCTCTCATTCCACACTAAAGCCATGGGAGACCGTGTTTGTATTAATATTGTAACGGACTTCCTCAAAGCGTTTCTAGGCAATAGTCAGCATACCAATGAACTCGCTGGTTAGGAGTCAGGTGACTTGTGTTTTCTGTGTTGTCTCTGAAGAGCCTATATAATGACCTGTTGTAGTTAAGAGTTAGTTGAAAGAGTGGGGCTTTGAAGAGAAGGCTTTATGTGTAATATTTGTAGTGTGCAATTCAGTAAGGCTGTTATAGTTTCTGTGTTGAGATAAGCTGCCAGGAGATGAATAGTGAAGACATAGAATCCTAGTGCATGTGTAATGACCAACTGGAAAGTATGTAAATCAGCAATAGTGCTGTATTGAGTATGATTAAGAAAACTTGTAACTGAAGCACTAATAAATCAAATCATCTGATCTAGAACCTGTTATTTTTGTCACGTGTACCCTCATGCACATGACAATATGATCATCGGTAGAGGAATCAAGATTATTTAGTTTATGTCTTGTTCTTGTTGTTCCTTGTCCTCACAAAATTAACCTTTAAGAGATGGGCCACTTAAATTCTGGTAATGGTTGTGGGCCAGAGTTAATTTAAATGCCCGCCATTGTAGAGTAATAAAAATTGTAATCATGTTACTCAAAATGCTGTGATTTCAATTTTTGTGATAAACGAACGAAATAAACGCAACTTTTATCTAGAAAGAATATAGAATCAGATATTGTAATTTACAGATTTCAGAATCTGTAAAAATTGTTGCATTGATTCCAAAAAAAACTTTTCCCCAATTTTGAGCATCTCTCCACAAAAATGCATAAAGTTTCTGCACAAAACGTTTCTGCAGTATATGCTGCTGACACACACGGTCTGACTATGTCTTATCTGGAGGAGAGACGATGTATATGTTTTCATTGCACATTCTCCAGTCACCTCTTGTATACATGAGTGTGGGCGAGTTCTTATCCTTCTTTGTCCTTATGAAACTCTGCCTGTTTATACACATATGTCGGACTATCCACACAGAGTTACTGTGCTTGGAATATCCCCTCATTCCCCTTGCTACCACGTCCCATCATAACTGACTGTACTGCATTCTGAATGGTGTGATTTACGAGCAGCCTCTCAATTTCGGCTTCTTCCATGCGAAATGGGGCCATGGTGCATAGTTGAAATTGTGATGTTTTATAAGCGTTACGAATACAGGAGACCACTCGCCATCACTGGCCTACTTCCTGCTAATACGAGACAGATGTTGCGTGTGCGCGCTTTGCGTGGAAAACAGAGTTACATACGGACAAAGTGCATGAATTGCGACGTCGGACTATGCATTCAGTTAGATGATGCAGGAGGGAAGACAGTCTACTTATAAAGTGGGTGTCCAAAAATAATGTAAGTAGAACATGAATTTCTATCTTAAAATTAGATTTTAAAACACTGTGCGCAAGCGTGGACTGCGAGTCACCATACGGTGTCTGTCGGCCACTCGGCTTTAAAGGTCCCCATACGGTGTCCTTTGTTCATAAAGGTTAAGGCCCTTCAGCCCTGTTCCAAGCTTATACAGATGGCTCAAACCACCTCATTCATGGTCTTCCTAACTGCTGCCATATATGGTGAAAACTTGCTGCCTAGTAAGGAAGTGGGGTAATCCTTGTAGGCCAGAGAGTAGGACTCCAAAATCAGTTGGTGCAGGTCTAGGGGCATGGAGATGACACTTCCACTACTGGACTACTGAGCTATCAGGTGATAACCAGTAATGGGAGACAGAAACTGATTCCCTTGATATAGCCAGTGAAATGTGGAATTCACGTGTCCAATCTGCTTGCCTCTGTTGCTCTCTTCAAGTCACCATCAGTCTCATTTTATCATCCTCACTGACAAATTTTCTCTACACAGAATCTTCCTATGCTGAAACAGTTACAAATATTAAATAACTTCCTGAGATGGAACCACGTGCAACTGTAGCACTGCTCACTGAATCAAAGACATCCTGCTGCTTCTGGTAACATGCAGTCAAAGGCACCTTCTGCCTCCAGCCACAGGCTAGAGATGGAGGTAGTGGGTTCCTCCACAACATTGCTGCTAGAGTACATGGCATCACATCCCAGAGGATGATAATCTTCATAGGCACCAGCATTAGAACCTCAAATCCAACGTTCCATTTCTTTGCCCCTCAGTGACATCTGCTGTACATAGCATAATGGTTGGTCATTTTTTCACATGTATATATGTGTATATCCAATATAGATAGAACACTTAGTGCAGCAGAAAAATCCAGCTCATTCTTAAATGTCTTCTATCCTTAGAAATGAGTAGGGTTTAAGTGCTGTGTCTCATTGAGTTGATGTCATACAGGTAGACTTTCCTATTTGCTGTAAGCAACAGGCAAAGTTTCTAGTATGCATATTTAACTTAATGGTTGTAACAGAGGCTGCACACTGGTCGAGCAGCACCAGAATGTGCCTGTTCTTGTATACCAGTCTTCCTTCCAAGCAGTAACTGACAAACTGTGTTCACAGAAAATTCTTTGGGCAACAGAGCTTCTTAGACTTGGTCATGACAAGCGACTGTGTCATTCCTCTCTGCATTGCACCAGAGTAGCAGGTTCTGTACTCCTTCCATTGGTATCATACATCCCCTTCAACTCTGAATTTTATATTAGACTGATTAGTGTAAAACAATGCAGTTTTATCCACAGTGAACATGTTCTGTCGGGTGAATTGTTCTATTTTGGTGTCACATTTCTGTACTATACTGAGGCCATGGGAAAAAGTCTCAAGGGCAGTGGGGATTATGGAACCTCAGGCTTCCAATTCTCTGCTTACAAGTGAACTCCCTCCACTTCAGTGTGTTCTGTTTGTCAACCCAAAGTGCTTGTTACTAGCAAATGTTTTCACATGGTCATCACAGCTGACATTCCTCTACTGAGCTTCTCACGTGTGTTTAGGAGGTGTCTAGTTCAAATATAGTGATACAATGGCTATTCTGAGGGTTCCCTTGCTTTTCCTCAGTTTCTCCAGGAAAATGCTAAGACAGTACCTTAAATTAGGTTATAACTGCATTCTCCCACATCCTTTCCACTTCATTCGCTCATCATGTAGTCTTTCAGCACTAAGTAGTTTTAGTTACTGTAATGTTAAACAGACAGAGAGTAAATAAATAACATTCCTGCAAAGAGAATGGTTAGATGACTGGAGGTGAACATAGGAACATACACTGGATGAGGAAGCATAACAGCTCAAGGGCAATCTGGATGGAGTCAGTCCATGGGGCTTCCTTCTGTGGTCTTGGTATAATAATCAGCAACTTCTACATTTATGGAAGTGTTCACTATTAATGTCAGCAATACTATTTTATGTTGTTACTTAAACCTTTGCTGCCATTGACATGAACACTGAACTCTTGATTACATTTCCAGTGCAGTGTCACTGGCTTCCTCCAGGACTGCATGGTTTTCGATAGGAACATTACCGATATTAGTAAGAACTATTAAAATAATCTGTCTTCCAACTCTAAATGCTTGGCTCCTTTGCATTACCAGCCTCTTAGCAATTTATGCTCCTCCTATAGCTTGTCTGTTACTCACATGAAAACGATCATGATCATCCACATCTTTTTTTATTTGCATGCTACCTCACAGGAATTGTCTTTATGTTTTTAAAACAATGTGGGTTCAATGATCTGCCAAGCACAATTAGCACCTGTTTATAGCTGCTATCACCATTCACACACAGTAGCACTGTCATCCTCTCTTTGGCACTTTTCCCTGGGGTGGTACTGGTCTTTTAATCGCTTGTTCACTCATTTCTGTCCCTAATGGAAAACAAACCATTCAGTCTCCCCTTTACTTTAAAATATTATTAAAATCACATTTAACTGCAGCATGTTTTGGCCTTACAGGACCATCAATTGAAAATGCTGCACTGCAGCCTTCTGTCTAGGAGATAATTACAGAAGAGGCCCATTTCATCTGCACTGTACACATCCTATGGCTCATATGCTCCCAGTAATGTTGGTCGCTTCTCAAGCCACAGGTCCCTTGTATCTCTGCTGGTGGCAGTGCTTTCTCCAAACGGATTTTTGTGTATAACGCCACAATGATCTTTGAACCTCTAGATCCATCCACCTGATGCTGAAAAATTGTGAATCTGCGTTCCATCAGCTATCTGCTTGGCTTGCTGTCAACAGGAACACCAGATGCCTTTCCTGTCTTCCTCTTCTTATGTGATTATCCTCACTCGTCTGTTTGTTCCTAGACTTCACTTTTCTTTGCAACAGTGGAGTTAAGCATGGAGGGTGCGTAGATGAGGCATCTGGCTGTGTCACTCTGTTGCTCTGTTGGATTCTTCTCCACTTCTTCAGTAACCTACAGTCTTTGACTTGCTTTGTAGAGGAGACATGAAATCAATAACAGGTAAACAGCTATAACAGATAATAACAACACTAAATCACACTATGTAAAATGCTTAACTTGATAAGGTGAAGTAAACTGCATGGTGCAAGACAATACTTTGAGGATTGCCACTGTACAACCAAAGCCTCCCTTCACCCCAGCCATTCCTTCAACACTCCTCACTTGGACAAGGCAAGACATTACAGCTCCGACACTGTTTACAAGCACGAACAGTTTACTGCTGCTGTACGTTCCAGAAATATTTCGAGTTCATGACTTTTTCTCAGAAACAATGGTGTGGGTGGATCACTGCTACTGTACGTTTAAAAAATATCACTTTACTTTTGGCATTTACAGGGACCAGAAAAAATGAAAAATAGTTGTGGGAAAACAGTGCACAGGGGAATGATAGACAGAGGCTTCACTGTATATAAAAATTTCAAAGTACATTATAAAGTATAATTTAAGCTGATACTAATGTACTTGTATAATGCCACATCATGGACTCTTATATAGAAACACAAGCAAAAGCTAAGGGATATGAAATTTCTCAGAAGTACTGAAGAAAAGCCATGAAGAAGGGATCAAATTATAACTGAAGTAATTGTTGTTCAATTTTTCTTAACAAAGTAGTTTGGCAATGTAAAAAGAATGGATGGAACATGGCTGCTGAGAAAGGCATTGGGAGAGATCTGCAAGCTGACTCAGAGCAAGATGGTTTAGACAGGTATGGGAACACTTCCAGAAGAAAGGAAAAAGCTGGCAAGAAATTGAGGATTATGGGGGAAAGAGGAGATTCTAGGCATTTTGTCCACTGATCTGTAAAAGTGGATATGATGCTAGGAGGAGAAGTTACTACTTCAAATTACAAATTAGCTGAATTACGAATTATCTGCAGTAAAAAGCACATGAAGTCGTGTCTTCTTGTGTGAGGATTAGTATTTACTTTTAATTAAATATCAGATTAATGAGGTTTGGATGTAATATGTGCTGTAAACCATAAGAATAAAACTTTTGGCACAAATTAGGTCGTGCAATAGCTCAAGTGGTTAGTCACTGGCTTTCCACAGCGGTGGCCCGGGTTAGATCCCGGGTCTGGTCAGGTGGGATTTGTGGTAGACAAAGTGGCGCCGGGCCAGGTTTTCTCTGAGTACTTCGGTTTCCCCTGCCAATCTTCATTCCACCAATTGCTCCACAATCACCCTTACCTATCATCTGGAGCTGGGACAATAGGCCAGAAGTAGCCGCAGTACAAGGGACTTAGTCCCACCCCACTAGCATTACAAAAAAGAAAAATTTGGCACAAATTCCAAAAGATACAGGTAACTGAAGTATGATGCATATTCTGTAAACATATTTTTATTTAATTTCACTAAATGTGGAAACAATACAGTATTTACAGCAGCTTTTCATACGTGCTATTAATAATTATTCAGGGGGTGGGATTTTAAAAATCACTTTTCCTAGATAATTTTGAAGTCTGTAACAAGACAAAAGAGCACAAACAAGCTTCAGTGGACTATCCCTACATCCTTATCATGTAAAATTCACTTATTCAGCATTATCACTTACTTTACAAATAAAACCTTTCACAAGGAAAAGATGGCTAAATGAGGTACTTGTATGAGTTTATGAAGCAAATAAAATTACATAACCTTTACACTAAACAGTGCTAATGTATAAACTAATTTCAAATAAATACAGAAACATTAAAGGAGACGGGACAATTTTTGTCCCAAGTTCCACAGCAGAACACAGCTTAATGTGAAGCTATCTGAAATTGCATATCTCTGGTAACAAAGTTAAATACAAAGTTTAGAAATTGTATTGTGTTCCTACAAATAAATACTTAAAGAAGAGGAAACTTCCTCAAACAATATTCTGAGATGGGAAACGCTATGAGCAACAAAATGAAAATGAGCACAGGAATGAGGGAAAGCCTGGGGCAGACATTAATGTTTAAATGGTTCATTATACATATAGATTTTCAATTCAATCTTCTGTCTGTATCTCAGGCTTCCTCTCCTTCAATAAAAAGAACCATAACTTATAAAAGAATGTGTTCATCCCCTTGCACAGCTGTGGTTCAGCTAACTGGGCCTGCAGTTGATGGCTGGGGCTTCCCTCGCACCCTCATCCCCTCCGTCTCCTTCATCCCCTTGCACAGCTGTGGTTCAGCTAACTGGGCCTGCAGTTGATGGCTGGGGCTTCCCTCGCACCCTCATCCCCTCCGTCTCCTTCATCCCCTTGCACAGCTGTGATGCGATAACCCATGTTCATCAGCATCACTTCAAATGGATCGGCATTCATTCGTTTCTGGTTAGCTGAAGCAGCATCATCCAAGTCAATAACTTCTCTGTCATTCTTGGATCCATCCTTAAATCAAAAACATTTATGAAGCACAATAACGAATGGCTCTCACAGTAGAATGTTATACTGTATGGGCTCTGTCCACCATCTAGTGTTTCAGACACTGGATCTCTCTGTCCTCAAGAGAAAAAGTGGGGAGGCATCTACTCCATTAGTCTGTTAGGAAGAGCTAATCGCAATCAGTGGATTCTAGGTCAAGTAACTGAGGTATGTGCTTTCTAATGAATACAGCTGACCTGTTACCTCACCAGCTGTTCACTTAGGGATTATAACAGATCTGATTTCCAAAACATGTTCAGTTTGAGCATTATACAAAGTACAGGACCCCAGTCTCCTAAAACTGATATAACTATTTTCTTTCAGAGATCTGTATGCATAAATTGCATGTAATTATGACCACATACATCTATGTTTTATCTCCAGACTTCTCAATAAATAATGATGAAACTTGTTCTGTGTAAGTCTAAATGTTTCTGATAATTATGTGTAACAATAAACATGACTATTACTATGAGTTTCTTTCAGACAACATTTTGGAAATAGGATCTGTTTCCACTGTGAAGTGTTGAGACGAAAGGTTCTCATTTAGTTAGGCCCATTAGAGAGAGCTAGCCTCGATCAATGGACCACTGATTGAGAGTACAACTGAGCAGGAATCTTTCCATTCTTACACCTGAAATGTCATGTTTGAGAGGACTCAAGCCTGTGGACAGTGGCACATGTAACAGTCATCAAATCTGATACTGCAGATATACAGCATTGTCAGGCAAATTCCCTTTAGTAAATATCAGGTCACTATTGTTCTGTCAAAGGATATAAACATACTCAGTTCACTATTACCTACAGTTTATGTGACAGTGAAATCAAACTTTACCTATCATCTCATAAAAAATCTCATTGAACAAAAGTAAGGTTGGCCCTGTATTTAATTAAGCATGGGAGAGTGAAGGTATAGCTCCATGCATTCTTAACCTTGCCATTACATATAAAGTACAGATCTTATTAAGATCTAAAAACTATATTTGAAGTATCTTATTATATCATGTAAAATGAATCAAATACAAGGGAATATATTTTATGTTTTAATACAGTTTATTATATTTACTTCTTAGTCTTGGATGAGTAGAATTTAGTGAAAAATGGATAAGGAAGGCAATGGACTTATGTGGTAAAGGTTTTGGGTTCAAGACTGATCCAGTGTAGATATATCACATGTATTTCCCTTTCTTCACCTATGACAAAATTAAAACCCACTGCAGTTCAGTCATGAATACAAGCTGTATCAGATGTGAGTAAGGAGGTTCATCCAGAAGCAAGTGTTCAGAAATTTGGAATGGCACTAGCAAATAAAAACTGCACACCTAAAATGGTTAAGAGCAGACTGATTTCGGGGAATGGTGGTTACCATTCAGTTTAGAATTTTTTGTTCTACCACCTGCTAACCAAATATGTAAAGAACAAAATATACAAAACTTATTTTACCTTGTATCCTATGGGTATGATACCTGGTACTTCACATTAAGGGAAGAATATAAAATGAAGGTGTCTGAGAACAAGGTGCTGAGAGGAATGTTTGAACCGAAGAGGAAGTAATGATCTACATATATACTCCACCCTTACACCTTCATAGTGAAGTGCTTAATTAGTTAAGCACAAAGACAACTCTAACAGGAAGAGCTTCATAATTTGTGTTCTATAAATATTGCTAGGATGATTAAATCAAGGATTATGAGATGGGAAGACCATGTAGCACATATGGTTGCACAAGGAAATCCATACAAAAGTGATGGCACAAAAAACTTGAAGCAAAAAACCACTAGGAAGACCTGGGCATAAATGGGATGATATTAAAATGTTATCTTAACCCTTCTAGTGCCCTTTGTATGTACTTAGCCCAAACAAAGGATGAAATTTTAGTCTGCATGGTTTCAACAATATCTTTGGATAAACAGACCACACATCAAACTTATTTTCTTATGCAAGCAGCTGTTCTAATCTTGAGTAACAATTTGCTGACACTCTGAAAACAGCAGACACCTTTTCCTTCTCATTCCTGTTTCGGTGTCTGTAGCAGCAGGACTGCTATTCAAGCCTGTAAATATACATGCAGGAGGTAAAATATGTGAAGGGAAATAAAAATTGTTAATGATTAGATTCATGTCACAGTTGTTAGTGGCAGATCATTACCACCCATCTGTAATTGTCTTTGTTCATTTGCATACGAACTAGTTCTAGGAAAGGAACAAAAGTTAAGGAGAGGACAGTGTTGCTACTGAGTGACATATCCTAGTGTTCAGTGGTGGATCTGGTTCCTCCTCATGTTTCTTTCTGTTTCCACACTCAAATGCGTTCAGTAGATCAGTGATCTGCAATCAGTACGGCAGTTCTGCAATCAGTTCGAAGCACGTGCATCTGTTAGTTGATTTAGCATGTGAATAAGATGCTGCTGAAGAGTAGTATGCCAACGCTGACCCAGAAGTGCTTGAAGATACCACACTTAAGATTCATCATCTGAAGTAAATGAAGATTTAGAGAGGCTCCACTGACTTCCCTCTGATAAGGCAGATGTGCACCAGTTTGTGGGCGAACAAAGTGGGTTGAACAGAACTGCTGCTCGCAGTATTACTGAAAACTCATAACCTCGTGATTTCTTCTGCTGTATTTTCAGACCATCCTGACAGTAACTGCACATGATGCACAAGCAGGAAATAAACCAGACATTACATACTCTCAGCAAATAAGCATAAAGGATCTATATGCATTTCTTGCACTTACAGTTCAGATGGGTAATGACCACAAGCCCAGTATGAAGCTATACTGGACCAAAGACAAACTCTACCATGTTCCTCTCTACTCCAATGTGATGCCACAAGATTGATTTCTCATGCTTCTCAAATATTTACATTTTGCAATCAGAACCTATCAACACAAAACAGAGACGATCCTGATTATGACAGATTATGAAAAATGATACAAATATGACATTCTAAATTCAAAATCTTCAGAAATGTACCATCCAAAAGAACATATGGCAGTGGATGAATTAATTATAAAATTCAAAGGGAAAGTTGTCTTTTCACAATACACCCCCCCCCAAAAAAAAACAAAGAGATTTGACATACAAATTTATAAACTATGCTCCAGATCTAGTTACACACGACATGAGAATGTACCCAGGAAGACAAAGAAACATGACTAGCACAGATGTTACACCCACACATGGAACAGTACTAGAACTAGTTTGGAAACTTGAAGAAGTTGGACCCAAAATATTCATGGACAATTATTTCACCTGACTGAAACTTTTCAATTATCTACACCACACGAAAATAAATTCAAGCAGTAGAGTCTGTCACAACAGAAAGAAAATGCTGCCTAATTTCAGTCCTAAATATCTAAGACTGTAAAGAGGAGACACGTCCAGAGTGTGGGGAAATCTAAGCAGTGTGTGTGGGAAGTACAAACGAAAAATTTACATCCTTTCTAATATGCACATTCCACCTGTGGAAGTTAACTTCAAGGAAGGTGGGAAAGCTGTGAAGCCTCTGATCATTGAAGACTATACAACCCATATGGATTATGCTGTCTTGAGTGATGGGATGATGAACAGCATCAGCAAGAAAACCTCTTCCATCTGTTGGACCCAACCATTCTCTACAAGTCTTGTGGGGGAAATACGACCCATATGAAATTTAGGGAGCAGCCAGTTAGGGGTCTCAGCATTCTCTCCCATGAAGAGAATACTGAAGTCTGTTGTTTGCCAGCAGTTTGGAGACTCAAATGAGCCCACTTGAACTAAAACATTCTCTGCACTTGCCAGTCAAAGGAAAAGAGCAATGTCACCTGTGCCAAATGAAGAAGAAGAAAAAAACAGTCTACTATAAGGTGTCCCCCAAAAGTCATGAAATATATATATATATTTTAAATTTATTGATGATATCGGTACAAAGTGTTAATATTCTTCAAAGTACTGTCCATGAGCATCTACACATTTTTTCCACCGACTCTCCCATGCCCGGTATGCCTCCTCAAAGACCTCGACGGGAACCTCATTTAAAGCTGTTGTCATGGCCACTTGGATAGCCTGAATGCTTTCAAAACGGCGTCCTTTGAGTGCAGTCTTCATCCTTGGAAACAAAAAGAAGCGGCCGGAGCTAGGTTGGGGCTGTAGGGTGGCTGTGGCAGCATTGCCACATGGTGCTTCACCAGGAACTCACAGACGAGCAGAGACGTGTGGCTGGGTGCATTGTCATGATGCAGCCACCAGCTAGCGGCGATGTCTTTTTGCACGCGGATGACCATTTTCCTTAATCTTCCTAGAACATCCACGTAGTAGGGAGCGTTGACAATCTGTCCTTGGGGTAAAAACTCTTTGTGGACCACACCCTTGGTGTCGAAAAAGACGATGAGCATTATTTTCACTTTGGATTTGCTCATCTTCGCCTACTTCGGTTTCGGGGAAGCTGAGGTGTACCATTCAGCACTCTGGCACTCCCTGTAGGCTTGCTTAAGCAGTTCGTGAGTTTCAGCAGCTTTTTTGTTGAGCTTTGTGCAGAACTTGACCGCCCAACGTTGTTCGAAAGTATCCACCATCGCGTGCCGTGACGTGGTCACAAAACACTGGTGCACTAAATCAGCGACACTGACGCCTCCGATGCTTGAGCAGTCTGACCTTGGGCGCGCTGTGAAGCTAAAGGCCTCCCCTTCCTAACCCAACCAGTTCCAGTGCACTCTGACCAGTAGGAGCGCGGGAAAGAAATGTATCATGACTTTTGGGACACACCTTGTATTACAAGAAATGTGATTGTGGTGTGTGTGTCGTGCCATGCTTTGAGCTGTGGCATACAATTCCCAACTGTGACTGGAACTGACTGCATGTGCGTTGGCTGTGTAACGTGATCTACAACAATGGAACGGACTTTCCCCTCCCATCCAGTGTACAGGCTGTGATGAAAGTGCATCCTTTGTGAATGTCGTTCCAGGCCCACAGACCATGCAGCAATATATGAACCATAATCAGGCACAATGTGGAATATGGGGTGGAACTGTGTGTGTAGCTTTGGAAAGGCATCAAAGGAATACACAATCACATTTTTAATTAAGTATTAATTTTCTAAGTTCATAAATTTTCCATAGGTACTTCTTTTATGGAAGAATTTCATTAATCTGGCACAAATAAACATATAAAATTTGGCTGAAGAATGATAAAACTTTCTTAAAAGCATGAGGTATTCATTCCTCTATAATGCCATGTAGTCCGTAACCACTGTTGTGAGATCCTCAAATCCTATGTACTATTTCTGTTTAATTGAGATACGTAAATAAACAGTGGCATGTTTAAATTTCCCATACTAAGAGGTTAAAGGGAAAAGGATGGGAGGGTGTGGATGGGCTTCATCTGGCTTTGGGTAAAGATCAATAGCAGGGCTCTTGTGAACACAATAATAAATCTTCAGGTTCCACAAGGTGCTGAAAATTTCTTGGTAAGCTTCTCAAGAAGGACTATGCTTCACGTGTTTGATGGTTCAGAATGCATGCATCACCTCAGCACCAGTACAGCATGGGTCACATTAAGAAATCAAAATTGTCACCACTGCTCTGACAGACAGAAGCCACAGCTATTGAAATACGTGTAATTACTGTAGGGATTAGATAACAATATAATCTGACAACTGGTGCAAGATAGCAGTTCTCCTTGTACATGAAAATGTACACCAGTGAGCTGTGTAGAATCACAAAAATGCACCCAGTGCACCATCAGTGATGGTGTTTCTGAGGAATATGCTGGTCAATCTTCTGCGTCAAAGTAGAGCATTCAGGTTATAAAGAGTGGTGGTATAACTGACACAACGGGGGAAGGATGAGGTCTGGTGCCTGCTCGAGGCAGATGGAGGCAGCATAGCCCACTTCCACATCGTACAAATACCCTAGAGCAACGTCACAATCACAGCAATACATATTATGTTTCATTTACTGTAGTTTGGTTATGCTGTCATTAATTTAGGTTAGTGTCAAATGACTGCATAATGAACTGGAAAGGATGTGGAAGGAAGCAGACATGGCTTAATTTAAGGTACTATCCCAGCATCTGCCTCGACTGAGATGAACCATGAAAAACCTCAGTCATGACAGTCAATGTTCTTGGTGACATTTGAACCAGGCACCTTTGAAATATAAGTTAAAAATGTTACTTCCTAAGCCAATATCCTCAGTGATACATATTACACTGAGGTCTTTCCTGTAGGTTTTTCTGGCCTACCACTTAAATAAACTTTTTTCCAGTACAATCAGCTGAGAGAGGGTGAATATGTTGCATCATTACCTCAGGTCTTGGACTCCATAATCTGACAACTGGATCTATACCACTCGTGGCAAGCAAGCAGTATGATGGGTGAGGCTGCAGGCAGTTCACTATGGACTCATCGCCACGGAGGACACGCATGATGTTTGTGGTGTGACGATCCCAGATAAAGAAGGAGCCATCATCAGAGCCTGCGACAATGTACTGGCCCTGACTGGAGAAGTAGGTCATCAGAAATAATGACTCTTTGTTCACTTAACATGCTTTGTCAGTTGTATAGATTATGCAGTGTTCAGTGACAAGATGACTGGAAGGATGTCAGAGGAAATGGTCCTGGCATGTAGAGAGTAACAGAAAGGATAGGAAACTCAGTCAGGGTACCTGGTGTCCAGAGTACTGATCTAACTGTGTTAACAACAAAGGGCATGGGTAGTGTTGTAACATCTGTATGCTCTTTAAATGCAATTTAAACTGAGATGTGATGGTTATCATTCTGCAGTCAGGAGACATGAAAGTATAGTCTTCATATGGCCTAAAGAAATATTAATTTTTGCCAAAAATACAGCTGATTT